GGTTCATTATAGTCACCTGGTGCACTCAGTGTTCTGAACAAGAAACGCTGCAGGGTCTGCATCCTTTTAGAAGTATGAATCCCTTGGGAAGCATTTCACCAAAATGCCTATTGCATGGGGTGCTTAAAATTGTATTTTTGTGCAGACTTTTGGGAAAATCAGTAAGCCAATCACACAAGCAGGAAATGACATTTCTGGGGGTGATCTGTACACTAACTGTAAATGGAATACCTCCATGTTGCCATATTGCATTGCATTTTACTTAGAATTACAGCAGCTGTAGGTTAAAAACGAAAGATAATTTTTAATAACATAACATTACAGCATGGTTTCTGTAGCAATTGTATATGCCATATTATTATTATCATTTTTTTTTTTGCTACTTTTTAAAATTAAAGTGGTTACTTTTTAATTCTTCTATGTAAACAAAAGATACATTTTGGCTGCAGTTTGGCTTGGATTCACTTGACTATGTTAAGGTTTGTCCCAGCCCTGGTCACTGTCACTTTTGCCAGGCAACTTGGTCTGATTGTAATTATGGCAAAATGAAAATAGAGGCATCTGAAAAAAAGGTCACATATTGAATACTTTTGTAACATGTATTAACCAAATACATTTAGTAGAGTATATTATTTCCCATGATAGTGCTCTTTGACAAGCCATAGGAGAGGGATATCATTTCATAACCCTACAGGATCTTTTTTACAAATTTTATAAAGCAAAATGTGATCAAAACACATACCAAGCATCAGATGTCTAGTTAAAGACTGCATAACAAGTGATTACTAATCAGAGCTTTTATAATAATCCAATATCTGCAAGTGAAGAACCCATGGGACTGTCACATATCCTACAAAAATATCAGTCCTTTGAGAATATGAACACAGATGGTCATCTGCAGACAACTGGCAGGCACATCTCATACCACCAGGCATATTCTGTGGTTTACATCTTTCCGGGTAGAAAAAAGGCTTTAGAAAAGAACGTTAATCTAAATAAAAACCTTCTATGGCTTGTAATGGCAGATCTGTGTGAGTCACAAAATATAACCTATTAAAGCTGTTCTCCTATATGGAAGGCCCCCACCCACCTCTGGAATAAAAAGCACTCCGTGAAAGCAAGTAAAAGTGAAACCCTGAAAAATAAAAAGAGACAATAATGATCTTATACCCCAACACATTCACCTGTGCAAGGATCATATCACTGGGTCTTCTCGCGGGATCCTGGGAAAGCGAGGATCCCAAATCATGCGCACCGCTGGAGCATCTTCTTGTTAGATTGGGACCCTGAGCTTTCCCAGCTTCCAGTGATGTGACGTTGGAGTAAGGTAAGGGATTTTCTGTATCAGTGATATGCACCAGTCGTTCTGGATGCACAGTTGGCACTGAGGCAATAAATGGAATGATGTGCATGGTTCTCCCACTAACCTGAAATGAGAAATGATCTACATTTTTTGGATATATATTGGTATGAGGTGTGAATACCTTCTGCTCTAAAAAAGGCTGTACTCACTGGTATAGTGGAGGGCTTTTTGGTTCCTTTAGACCTTTCTTACCATAACCTCCTGGGATCCATTTTTGCATTATCCTTTGGTGGTGATGGTGGTGGGATGGGGGGGTGCAACATACACTATATTGCCAAAAATATTGGGATGGCAGCCTTTACATGCACATGAACTTTAATGGCATCCCAGTCATCAACTAGTTTGGGAAGGCAGTCCAAAAGGTTTAGGAGTGTGTCTATGGGTATGCTTGACCATTCTTCCAGAAGCGAATATGTGAGGTCAGGCACTGATGTCAGATGAGAAGGCCTGGCTGGCAGTCTCCGTTCTAATTCATCCCAAAGGTGTTCTATTGGGTTGAAGTCAGGACTCTGTGCAGGCCAGTCAAGTTCCTCAAACTCGCTCATCCATGTCTTTATGGACCTTTCTTTGTGCATTGGTGTGCAGTCATGTTGGAACAGGAAGGGGCCATCTCCAAATTGCTCCCACAAAGTTGGGAGCATGAAATTGTCTAAAATGTTTTGGTATGCTGACTCCTAAAAATTTCCCTTCACTGAAACTAGGGGGCCAAGCCCAACCCCTGAAAAGCAACCCCACACCATAATCCTTTTTCCATCAAACTTTACACTTGGCAAAATGCAGTCAGGGAAGTACTGTTCTCTGGCAAATGCCAAACCCAGACACATTCACCAGATTGCCAGAGAGAGAAGCATGATTGGTCACTCCAGAGAACACGTCTCCACTGCTCTAGAGTCCAGTGGCTGCGTGCTTTACAGCACTGCATCTGATGCTTTGCATTGCACTTGGTGATGTAAGGCTTGGACAGGATTTTACCTGTTCACACATGTGCAATTTTGAAATGGTTCCCATAGAAGTCAATAGCCTGTACTCTGCAACTGAACCTGATGGCACTGCTCAGAAATTGTACAGGACTCTTTTTTTTCAACCGCACTGAATCCGCACCGCCAGTGTACCGGATATATGTGAATAGGCACCATAGGAAGCAATGTTATTTCACACGTCATGTGGATTGGATGCAGTTCAAACTGCATCCAATCTGCATATATGTGAACCAGCACTTAAGCATTACAGGGTAAGACCACCCAAACCTGATATTTCAGCTTTTGATGGCTGATGAGTTAAACCATCTGACAAGCTCTACTGGTCTGTTGGTCATTGCTAGGTCTGCACTCCTCCTTTGGATGCTGTGAAGGTTTCCCACTCCCTTTTTCTTTTTACCCAATCTATGTTAGAGCCCTTTCACAAGAGTGATGTCCATTCCAATCTGCAGAGGATCCATGAACAGATCCCCTACTAAATTAAAACAGAAAAAGATAGGATATCCTTTTGCAACACCCATGTCCGTTCAGTTTTTTTTCTTCTAGCCTGAAAGTGGACCCAAGCTAGGTCTATGGGCAGCTTATATGATCCAACATACGCCATTTACATCCTTCACCTTTGATTTATCACAATTAGGTCCAAAAAGTCAGAAAAGAATGCAAACCTTTTCAATTTTTTTTTTCGGCTCTTCATGGACTTGAAAGTAATCAAATGTAAACTGATCTAAGTCCATATACATCTTTCTGCCCATAGACTAAAATTGAGCTTTTATTCAGATCCACCTGTAAAACTGACAGGTGGACCTGATTGGACCATCCATGTGAAAGGACACTTATAGAGAAGTATAGGAGTAGCCCAAATTGCCCAAAGTTGGCGAGAACACCCAGAACTCCCATTGCACAGGAACAGATTAAGTTTAGGTTCACACCTATGCAGGTTGCATTTGAGGCGTTTCTGCATTGCATTTTTTGTTGCATTTTTGCCTCATTTTTTATGTATTTTGTGTTTTTTTTTTTTCTTGTTGCTAGGCAGATTTAAAACGCAAAACTCAAAACGCATACAAAATGTGGCAAAAATGCATCAAAATGTAATACATGCTTTTCTGCAGCATTCCCATTGAAGTCTATAGAACCAAAAATGCAATGTTTTGCATTAAAAAAAAGTCCCCAACCCTTTCCAAAAAAAAACCCACTGAGTGAAAACACAGAGATGTGAACCTGTCCCATAGAAAATCATGTTAAATGGACTGTAATGCATTTCTGCAAAATGCGGCAGAAAATGCATAGGTTTGAACCTAGGGTGATGGTTTGTTCACACCACATGTGGTGGGACTGCGTTGGGTGGCAATTCCAGGGCAGTCCCACTGCATGGACAAGGCAAAATGCCCTATCTTCTATGTGCCATGCACTGCGGTGCTATGTGGCCATGATACACTGAAAAAAAATGCATGCATCCTGTATGTGCAATCCACTGCTTCACACCACGTGGCTGGCAATTGAACTTTATGGGGAAAAAAAAGAAAGAAAAAATAAAGAAAGGGAAAAAAAAAAGGAAAAAGTGCAATCTGCCAAGCTGATCTCTGCCCCACCACCTTACAACAGATGATGTGAGAATCATTAGAGGGAGATCTTGTTGTAAGAGGCCAGGGGCTGGCACGGCCCACCAGACTTCGCCTAGATCTATAATATCATTTTAAGGTAGACTGTCGCTTTAAGTAAAAATAAGTGAAATTACCAATAAATATTTTTCAGTGTTGATTCTTTCTATACAACATATTGTTTTGTCAGTAGGCAAAAAATTCATATGTAAAGGTAGTTAATAAAATAATTTCACCATCTGCTGGAATGGATCAAATAGCTTAAACAGATGAAAAGCAAACAGAAATCTCAGTCCCTTTATAGATGGATTTTGGCAAACATTCAGGAAATAAAAACAAAGGCTGCAGAAAGCAGAAAAACAGTAACAGTTTAGTTTGTGTGTGTGACATGAAGCATCTAGAAAACGTTGTAATATTCTACAGGGAATACAAAAGAAATAAGCCCCCCATCACACTAGTGCTTCTGCATATCCGTGCCTTTTTCTGTGTATTTTGCTAGCATGCTTTGCATCTTTTGAATGTGTTTTTCATGCGTTTTCAGGCTGCCCAGCCGTCCCAATCGGTAGAAACTGCATGGGCAATGTTATTTTATGTCCTCTTCTGCTTGCAGTGTTCTTCATAATTATTGTCCTTAGGATCGTGGAGCAATGTCATTTCACTTATCGGCTTTCCAGATTTCAGAATGGTCTGGTGTGGTCTCCCCATTTCCATCTCTCTGCAGCCTGGGTAGAGTAGATCAGGGGTGCTCAACCTGTGGCCTGCAGCAGTGGTGTATTTTGGTTGTGTGCAGCCCTAGGCAAGACTAAAATCGTGCTTATGGGGGGGGGGGTAGATAGAGAGAGAGAGAAACATTCCAGTGCTCACCCGCTGGCCTGGGAGCCATGATCAGGAAAGTCTGATGTCTTCCTTCTGTGCTGATCTCTGACTATGATCTGGGAACTACACCCTTCAGGAGCCCACAGTCACACTGCTGTGCCTCACCTGCTCCCCATTCTCAGTCACCGGCTGCCACGTGTGTCACTTCTGTCAGGGGTTGGCGCTGCCCCCCTGAAAAATGCTGCCCTAGGCAAACGCCTTGTTTGCCTTGTGGTAAATACACCCCTGGTCTGGCTACAAGTGGTCCTTGGAACCCTCTGATGTGGTCCTCAACCTCAAACCAGGGAAAAGCTTGCCTGCCTTGTTTGCCTTGTGGTAAATACGCCCCTGGCCTGCGGGCCACAAATAGTCCTCGGAACGCTCTGATGTGGCCCTCAACCTCAAACCAGGGAAGAGCTTGCCCGGGGTTGGCAAACTTATTGATTGCCATCTGGACTTGCCGACCCACCATCCCAGAGCATCAGAGTTCATGAAGCTGGTAGCAGAGGAAGCAGGTGGCCAAGGAGAGAGCAGGAGCTACATAAGCGGAAGCTTCCTCTGTAATTCCGGCTCCTGTCTCAGGAGGAGTGATACCAAGTGCGCTTCACCTGGGACCTTTCTAGCAGCCTGGAGAGATGGCAGCAGAAGCTAGAAGAGTAAAAAAAAAAAGGTCAATGTATTAAACAACATATACACTGCGCTTTTGCAATGGGCATATTAGAACGTATAAAAGTGTTAACAACTATTAGCTGCTTTCAGACTGATCCACAGATGCAGCGCAGTGTACCTGCGGGTTTCCTGCGGATTAGCTGGACTGAACCATATCCTGTGGGTTCAGTAAGCTTTTTGAATGAAAGCACACCAAAACTCCTGAATGCAGGAGTTTTGGTGGACTTTCAGAAAGTGCAATACACCCACAAAATATAATAGAAGTCTATGAAAAAGCGCAGCTAACCCTCAAGAAAGTGGCAGCTACACTGCACTGCACCCATGGTGAGGGTAAACTGCAGCACATCAGTATGAAAGCAGCTTTATAGGGGGCTCAGAACAGTAAGGGCTTGTTAACATTTGCGGTTTGGGGGATCCTAAAACACCATAGACATGTTTTTACCACACCCCAACAACCACTGGTGTAGCTTCAGGGGTTGCAATGGCAACCCCCCCCTTGCTCCAGGGGACCCATGTGGCCTTCCTGTCACATTCTGTCTTACATTTGGACAGGAGGGGTGGCAGGGAGGGCTTGCACAGTACAGAAAGGGATCCTCTCCATATTCCTCCTACATCCACTGAAATCTGGCTTCTCCTCCCCCTCTTTTTGCCGGCATTCAGAGGCTGAAGGAGGAAAATGTTCATTATGCTATTGAAAATGTAAAAAAAAAAAAAATTCTGAATCAACTAATTTCACTCTGGCCCACAACCAGTTATCAAATCATTTAAGTGACCCTCACTCCTCAAAAGATTGAGCACCTCTGTAGTAGATGTTTCAGGAGGAGACTGGTTGTTATGCATAAAAATCTGCTAATGTATGTACATCCATTTTTAGGGTATTGCAATTAAAGTCTGTTGGGCCAAAAATTCACTGCGGTGCACCAAAAGAAGCACCTGCACCTTTTCAGAAGTTGTACAGCAGTATGTTGCCTAGGTGTGAATGGGCACCATAGGGAATAATGTGATATTTATAGTCATGCATTGTAGTGTGATGGGAGAAGCTCCACAAATCACATTAGTATGAATGGGGCTAATAAAACCCCCTAAGCTGCCACAGATGGATCAAAATCCAGCCGGTTGAGCAGGGACCATCTATCTATGGCCATTTATCCAATCTAATGATTGACTTCTGACAAACAGGCCAGTTGAAAAACTTTTTTTTTGATCAGCACTGCATCCAATCAGCTGCAACGCTTATCAGTGTATTCTGACAGTGAAGGAGTCCCCGCTGTCAGAATATAGCTCAGCAGGGAGGATTCCTCCATCCACGCTGTTTTTTTTTTGATCAGCCCACTGGCTGGTGGAAAAAAAAATTGATCCATGTATGGCCAGCCTTGGACTCTGTTCATTATATGAGAAATAAAAAGGAGCTTTTAACCTGCTCAAAGTTTTATAAAACAATTAATATGCGGGCAGCATTGTAGCTAGGGGTTAGCACTTGTGCCTGGCAGCACTAGGGTCATCGGTTCAAATCTCAACCACGTTTCTCTCTTTTGCCTGCATGGGTTTCCTCTGGGTGCTCCGGTTTCCTCCCTCACTCCAAAGACATGCTGGTAGGTTAGTTAGCTCTTGTCTAAATTGGCCCTGGTATTTGTATGTATGAATGTGAGTTAGGACCAAGGGCGGACTGACCATTTGAGCACTCAGTCACTGCCCGAGGGCCCAGGGTCAGTAGGGGGCCCCATGAAATGTCCCTGGCACCTTTTTTATAGGCTTTTTTGGGTGTGCTTTGAGTGTGGGCAAGGACACAGGGGCCCCATAATCCCCTATTGCCCAGGGGGCCCCATGAGTTGTCAGTCCGCCCCTGGTTAGGACCTTAGATTGTAAATTCCTTAAGGGCCAGTTCACACTACATGAGTTTCAGTTGCTTTTTTCCTGCATCCAAAATGCACAAAAAGTAGGTTATATAGTTGTCAGTGTCATAGTTCACATCAGTGCTTGCAGTTCCAGTGCATTCCGACTGCAGAAATAAAAGTAGAACATGCTGCATTTTTCCTGCACAGAACTGTACTGGAATGGGGTAAAATGCACTGGAATGCACAAAAACACACCAAAAACGCACTGTCCCTATTTACATTGAAGAAGAAGAGAGGGGAAAAAATGAACTGGAATGAAAAAAAAACGCACGGGAAAACACATGTCCTTATATACACTGAAGAAGAAAACGTGCATCCAGAAACGCATCCGGAACGTATCTGTACTGCATTTCTATAGTGTGAACCAGCCCAGGAGGACAGCCACTGATGTGAATGTACAATATATATGTAAACCACTGCATAAATCACCAACACTGTATAGACACCTGTAATAAATAGAATGAAGATAGTGATTATGTTTTCACACCCACTGTGAGCCTGCACTAGGACACAACTCCATCTGCAATCAGATCATTTGTAGACGTATTTGACATGCGGGGAGCAGGTGTTATGTTGAGGTGTTATGTTGTGTCCTCACCACCTGCTTTAACCCCATGAATGGCGCACCACCCTGCAGAGCAGTTGTGGTGCAGCCTTATTCACTTGAATGGGTCACTTTCAGGGGGGGATAATATTTGCTTCTCTTCATAGTCATGCCATGTGTACACCCCTGTCCACTGCCTTTGCAGCTTAAAGTAGAACTACATTGCACCTGAGCAACACAAACCAAAAACACAATTTAATTCATTTTTAATATTCAAAGTAAACTCTCCCATCCATCCATGTCTCCATGCTTTATTTTACTGATAAATCACTTTGAAAAAACACTCTCTAGCATTTCTGGTCATGGCCATCTTGAATAAGGGCAGATGATTCATGTAGCATTTACTTCCTGGAATCCATCTGCCCTCAGCTCAGGCATGCAGGCAGGAGGGTGTGCTTAGCTGTGAAAACCCCTCCTCCCCTCCTAAAGGCACCTTTTGCCTAGGCCTGGAAACTAGGAAGTAACTGAAGAAATGTAGAAAAAAAAAAAGTTTAAAACACGTATAAATAATATGCTTTCCTATCTTTTCACTAATGCTAAAAGCACAAGGATTAAAAATAGCCAATGTTGATTGACTTTAAAGGAGTTCATAAAAATGTGGCTAAAGCATGTCTTTTTACCACTCCCCCTCCCCCATAAAAGCCAGTACAAGTCCAGAGTATCTTTAAAATGTCAGTCCAACCCAACAACACTGAATTCTCCAAGCTAGCTTGTGTGTCATTTGAACATGAACTAATCGATGTCCTCTAACACAGAACTGGCCAGACATAGAAAACACATAAATGACCTTCCCTATGGCGTTTTCTGTGTGATCCAGTCAATGTTCACTGTGCTATTACAGCTTGACAGATATAAAATAACTATTGATGGTTCTGACATGTACATTCTGCAAAATTTTCAGGAACTTAAAAGAGCCAAAGGGAAGCTTTGATACTGGGTGGGGATATAAGCACTCACTTTAAAAGAAAGGCAAACAAAGAACATACTGTGTTATGTTATTTCTAAAAATGAGACATTTTAGAGCATTATCCAAAAACAAATGTCAAGGCACCATAAAAGATTATAAAAATGAATGTGGACTCTTCACGAGTGTGCATGAATTAATTCCAGACGTGTCATGATGTATTGTTTCATCAAAGCTCCACTCTAATTACGATGAAACTACACTACATCTGAGCACCACAAACCAAAAACTCTACTTATTTAATTTTTAATATTCAGAGCAAACTCCCCCATCCATCCATGTTTCCATGCTAAGAAATCACTTTGAAAAATACACCCTGGCATTTCTGGCCATCTTGGAATCCATTTGCCCTTAGCTCAGGCATGCAGATAGGAGGGTGTCCTTAGCTGAGAAAACCCCCCTCCCCTCCTGAAGACTCCTGAGATGTATGACATCATTTGCCTATGCATGGAAACCAGGACGTAACTGAAGAAATGTGGAAACAAGTTTTAAAAGTAAAAATGATATACCTTCCTATCTATTTACTAATGTTAGCAGCATACGAATTAAAAATTGTCAATGTTGATTGAGAGAGGAAGCTCCGCTTTTGAAAACCGTCTTGACTTCCAATCAATGACTGGCCTAGAATGCAGTCTGCTGCTGGAGGAGTCCTTTCTTGATTCTCCTTTCTCCCAGTGATCAGAGGAAGCTACAGGTGCCTGTGCTTGCTGCATCCTTAGCAACCAGTGATGTCACCTGGCCCCATTCATTTACTGCCCGGGAATCCTCGGCCATGCAAATAAAACAGACAGGGATAGTGTAAAAAAAATGGCGTGGGAGTTCCCCTCATAATTCATAATAGGCCCTTCAGCTGAATTTTAAAGGTGGACCCCACACAAAAATCAAAGAAAAATAAATGTGTGAGGGCCTCCCACAAAATCAACATCTGGTCTTTAACCAAGCATGAAGCCTATCAGGCCAGGAAAGGCAATGATGAGGGTAAGCTTCCCCCTAGTGAACCATACTAGAACACATGACCTCTCAACATGGCAAAGCATCTTGTCCCCATGTTGAGGACCAGGGCTCCTTCCTCACAACCCTGGCCTAGTGGTTGTGGGGGTCTGCAGCTTTTTGG